CTTTCTTAATGAACTTACTTTCGCTTTCTTGTATGAGTCTCCTCGAATTCTTTCTTGCTGGAGATCCAAGGACCCTCTTTTGGGGTCTGAATCGGGACCCCTTCTGGTAACACTTCCAGGCAACACATGAACCTACAAAGACAATTAAATTGTATGCATGTGCATTTGTTTCTGGCTAGAGGGTCTGTGGGTTTGGTCAGATTCTCAAAGGTGCCAATGACTCAGAAAAGTTTAAGAACTCCTGCTATAGATAATTTTATGACAATATCACAAAAGACAAACTAGAGAAAGCATGGACCATTTTAAGACAGTATCCACAAAAGACAAACCAAAGAGGCCGGCGCAGTGGCTCACGCCTGTAATCCCAACACTTTGGGAGGCCGAGGCAGGCGGACCATGAGGTCAGGAGATGGAGACATCCTCTGGCTAACATGGTGAAACCCATCTCTACTAAAACTACAAAAAATTAGCTGGCGGATTGGCGGAGCGCCTGTAGACCCAGCTCCTCAGGAGGCTGAGGCAGAAGAATGGCGTGAACCTGTGGAGGCGGAGCTTGCAGTCAAGTGAGATGGCACACTGCCTTCAGCCTGGGCGGACAGAGTGAAACTTCTGATCCAGATCTCCTGACCTCGTGATCCGCCCGTCTCGGCCTCCCAAAGTGCTGGGATTACAGGCTTGAGCCACCGCGCCCGGCCGGAACTTTTATTTTTAGTTTACACAATCAACTTGGGATCAGAGTGTCTCATCTGTTTCCTCTATCTCCAAAAAGGAAGGTAATTCACAGCCTTCTCTTTTCTAAATGGTGAGGACTCCGGGACCCCTGCTTCTGCGCCGCTGTTGGTTATCCAGACTATGCCACCACGTCCACCTGGGCTCCCAGAAGACGCCAGAAAGAAGAGAATGGAAGGAAACAGTACAGTGGGGACGGGAAGAGAAGAAACGACGACAGCCCAGGACTTCATACTCCAGCCTCAGCACTCACTTAAGATTGAAGAATAGTCCCTCACTGGCTTCAGGCTCTAGCCAATAGGAACTGACACTCTTAGCCAATCAGCGCTTTGCGTTTTTCCGGCGTTCTGCGTGCAGCCATGGAGATGGAATGAGCAAATCCAAACAGAGGGGTGGTGGTTACTCTAGCACTTCCCGCCCCAGTCTCTAGCCTGTGGGCTCGTCCAAAGGCCGGGCGTGAAGCCCTTTGGGTGGAGGGAGGGGCTCTCGTGGTCACTCACTTCCGGGTCCCCGCCAACAGGAACGGAAACTGTACAGCCAGTCAGCTTCGTGAGCTTCTTCCGGCGTTCTGTGTGCTGCCCTGGAAACCGTATGGACGAATCCAAACCTGGAGGGGCTCCGCCTCCGTAAGGCTGGTCGGCGCTTCCGAGCGTTCCGCTTTGCTTCACTGCTTTCTCCCCTATTCTTGGGAATGTGGACCTGTCCTGAGGCAGAGGCCGAGATGCGCGCAACCGCGGGAGCAGCCAAGTGGACTCGAGTCTTTTCTTGACTTACCTACCAGGTGCGTGGCAGTGGCGGTTTTAGTAGCCACGAGTCTGGGTTCGTGTCTGCCTAAGCGGTCGCAGAAGAGAGCGCAGGCCTGCGGGGGCGGGGGCGCCTGTCCGCCCTCTCTCCTTCTGGCCGTAGACCCCGTGCCCCCTTCACTCCCCTGCTTTGCGCTCTTGTTAAACGAAAAACCGCCCGTTTTTATCCAGGCTTTAGTTAAGGGCACACAGGACGCATCTTCTAGGAGCTGGGTGCAGCGGGGAGAGAGGGCTCGTGTTTTTCGGCTTGGGAGATGGTGCTTTATGGACGCCACCTCTTAACTCCCCAGAGCGGACCGCGTTTTCACCGCCCTGCAGCGCTTCCTAGGCTCCCAGCCGGCCTGGCGAACTGATGCCTACGGACGTGGCGAGGCCGCGAAAGCCGCCGATTCGCCCGCCGCGAGCTGCCTGGGGAGTGGGGTGCGAGTGACTACGTAGCGACCCTGAGTCTGTGATAATTGAGTCTGTGAAGTGCAGCGAGGAGGAACACCTATGGAGTGCTTAGCATGGCGCTCGCCCTCCGTTACATCTCAGGCGAAGGTTGATTTGGCCGGCAGTTCGCAGACTTGAGCGCATCCCAGTCACCCCAGGGCGTGTAGTAACACAGAAGGCCAGGCCCTACCGCCGGAGTGTATGATTCTGTAAATCTGGGGCAGGGCCGATAACTTTTTCATTTCTATTAAGTCCCAGGTGATGCTCATGCTTCTGGTGCGGGAATCATGATTGTGCTGAAGGTGGGCACTTGTGCGCTCTTATCACCTGGTGGCTCTCAGCGTTCCTTGAATGTAGGACCTGCCCCCTGACTCTTAAATGCCTCATTTGCACCTCTGCCTTCTGGCTTCTTAGATGCTTAGGTGAACTTGTGAATTAAGAGAGACTTCCCTAGGAGCACTATAGGTTAAGAGACTAAACTGTGGTTTCTCGGAAAGCATACTCGGGTGAGAAAACCATGAAGAAACGTAAGGAAGTGATGACTACGAAAGTCAGGGAGTGGTTACTTGTGGGTATCAGGAGGGTTGGTGATTGAGATAGGCTCACGGAGGGGCTTCTTATGTGGCTGGCAAAGTCCTATTTCCTGATCCTGGATGGTGATTAGAAGGGTGTCCCTCTTTCGTAATTCATTAAACTATATTTTGTGGAGTTTTCTGTATTTGTGTTTTATTTTACAACTAAGAGGTACAGATTTAAAAATGAATATTAGGAAGTCTGTAATGGGGAACGTCTTTGGACTGAGTTAAAGAATCTTAAAGTCATGGAATTTCAACGGTTAGTAAGTTATTGAAAAATAACTTAGTGCTAGGAGCGGTGGCTCATACCTGTAATCCTAGCACTTTGGAAGCCAGGGACAGGCGGATCACTTGAGGCCAGGAGTTGTAGACCAGCCTGGGCAACATAGCGAAACCCCATATCTACCAGAAACACAAAAAATTAGCTGGGTGTGGTGGCGTGCCAGAGGCTGAGGTAGCTATTCTGGAGGCTGAGGCACGAGAATCATTTGAACCGTGGAGGTGGAGGTTGCAGTGAGCCTAGATCTTGCTCCTGCACTCCAGCCCGGGCCACGGAGTGAGACCCTGTCCAAAAAAAAAGATAGAAAATCACCTGATCCAATTCTTATTTTACTCTAAGGAAACTAAGCCCTAGAGAGGAGAAATGTTTGAAAGTAACAAACCACCCTAAGCAGATTTATAGCTAATGTGTTTTGTTAATTTCAGATGGAAATTGTCCAGATATGACTTGATGGTCAGATGTGACTAAAGTAAAGGTTAAGGAAATGAATTTGGCCTAAATCAAATTCAAAATTTCAGGATTGGCTGGGCGGTGGCTTGCACCTGTAATTCCAGAATTTTGGGAGTCTGAGGCAGGAGGATTGCTTGAGCCCAGGGGTTCAAGACTTAGCCTTCCTTAAAACAAACAAACAAACACACAAAAAAGCAAGATTGTACTTCATTTTTTCACCTGTAGCCTCAAACCTTATTTTCAAGAACTCAGTTATACATACCTTATGAAAACTTATTTTATCATCTTATCCTGATATATCCTAATGTAGACAATTTCTGAACACTTAATGTTTCTGATTATTTTTTTTCTGTCTTAATAACTTCCCATCTTAGCATACTGTCAGTTTAATCTTATTTTGGTTATAATACATACCATGTAGCTGCTGGTGGCACGCGCCTGTAGTCCCAGCTACTTGGGAGGCTGAGGCCTCACAGGCGTGCACCACCATGCCAGGCTTTTTGTATTTGTATAGAGTCCGGATCTCATCATGTTGCCCAGGCTGGTCTTGAACTCTTGGCCTCAGACAATCCTGCCTCCACCTCCAAAAGTGTTGGGATTACATTGAAAAATAACTTACTGGCAGGCGCGGTGGCTCATACCTATAATCCTAGCACTTTGGAAGGCCGAGACAGGTGGATCACTTTAGGCCAAGAGTTCTAGACCAGCCTGGGCAACATAGCAAGACCCCATATCTACCAAAAACACAAAAAATTAGCTGGGTGTGGTAGGATTTCATTCTTTTTAATGAATGCGTTTTAGATCGAAGAGGAATATAAAAAGGACTTACGGAAACTGTCATGAAAAGAAAGATACTAACCAGTGCCTTTTTGTTTTTAACTAATTAATTTTTTTTTTTTTTTTTGAGATGGTGTCTCTGTCACCCAGGCTGAAGTGCAGTGGCGCAGTTGGCTCATTGCAACCTCCGCCTCCTGGGTTCAAGCCATTCCCTTGCCTCAGCCTCCCGAGTAGCTGGGACTGCAGGTGCACGCCACCATGCCTGGCTAATTTCCTGTATTTTTAGTAGAGATAGGGTTTCACTGTGTTAGCCAGGATGGTCTTGATCTCCTGACCTCAGGTGATCCACCCGCCTCGGCCTCCCAAAGCGAAACCCTATCTCCTACTAAAAAATAGAAAAAATTAGGCAGGCGGCCAGTGGCTTCACACCTGTAATC